GTGGAGCATGATGCATAGGAAGAGGATTTTTATTCAGAGTCATTTCTCTGCGTTTTCGCAGAAAAGGTGGAAATTGCTGTATGCTGCGAGTAGGCAGGGAGGCATGTTATTTCCAGTCCCAGTTAGCTGTAGGCAAGGAGAGGGTGGGAGTGTCTAGGGCCTGATCTGGAACATGCTCTTGGATTTTGTTTGTGCCACTCCTTTTAAAGTGTGAAGTTTGGACTCTAGAGAGCGTAGTTTACCAAGAAGCGCTCCAGGCTGTGCTGATTTCTGCTTTGGGAGCAGAAAGGTTTGAATAGTCCTTCTAATTTCATAACTGACAACCTCTCCCTTCAGTTCCTTGTGTTTGCTATTGTTGTGTGTGAAATTGTGTGTATATAATAGTTAGTGTGTCTTTTCAGTGCTGGGCTGATACCCCAGGAGGCTGCAGGTTTCATTTTATTTCTAAGGACTGTAAACAAGCCTTAAATAAGTTATGCAGAGGCTTATATGTGAACTCTGTTGAGGAGGGTCTCCTAGGGCCGTCAGCTTTTTGAATGTGCCCATTCTGCTCCTTCGTGTGCCTCAACCCTGCCAACATCTCAGGTGAAAAAGTACAAGTGGTACCTTAGCTACAGACAAATTCGTTTTTACTTACGCATGAGAAACGATTTTCTTCTAACTGTCATAGATGCCATATAAGTGCAAGAACAGAGACCAGCAGAATGTGCAGTCAAGGTCACTTTTTATCTATCGCTCATTTATGTTCATATTTCTTAAGTACTCAAAGTTAAGGACTAATATTGAGCACACATTATAATAATTTGTATTATTTTTGTTAAATAGCAATAAATGCAGCCAGTGTTGGAGCTCAAACCACAATGCAAAGCACTGACGACAGAGACACTTTGCTCTTTTGCTCCAGTCAGTATCTTCAGCTGTGTGGGCATCAGCCCTCAGCACAATTGTAGAACTGAATAGACTTACCTAAAAAGAGTAGAATTACAAGGGCAATTAAAAGTGGTGGCCTATCTTTTCCCTTCATTTTTCTTCTTTTCTTATGTGGATTGTCTTTTCAAGCCTGAAAAAATGTAAGTGATTTGTGAATCTTCTTTGAGGGCAAATACTCTCCTGAAATTCCCCTTATTGCCCAGATTGTGAGGACTGTGTTCTGCAGACCGCTGACTCCTGAGTGCCTCCTCAGTGTGGCTGTAGACCTCCTCACTGCTTGCTACAACCAGCCCTCTCCTCGATTCCTGCAGGGGCTTTCAGCCTTTTTTGAGGTGCGCTCCCAGGGCAGGTGTGGGTCCTTGCAGAGGGAATGGAAGCTCACCAACAGTCTGTGTCTGTCTTAAGTTGCCTCTGTGGCTCTGTTGGAAAGCTACCCTGGGCATGCTGCAGCTTGGGAGGTGCAGTTATAGGGGAAAAGATCCTGTTGGCGTCTCTGCTCACATCCCTTGGAACGAGTAGCAGCTCCATCGCAGGGATGGTGACTTGCATCCTTTTTGCTCCCAGGGTGGTGGTTGGTTCCAGGGAAATCTCAGTGGCTTCAACACTTGTGAAAGGGAGGACACTGAGGAACGTATGCCTTATACAAATAATCAGAGCTGATATTAAATCACCAATGAACAGAAACATTCTCCATATACTAAAACAGTCTCCTAAAAATTGAATCAAATTTTGTAAGAGTATCTTTCTTTGTAAGTGGTTATTTTTTTGCCTGATATGCTTTCTGTGAGGTATACCTTCTGCTGGATGACCAGAGACATTCAAATGTTGTTTATAGTACAACTTTATTCTCAAATACCAAAGTGGTGTTTTTTTTCTCTGTAACATATCTCTGCAAAGCAGCGCACATCCCCTACTGTGAATCCATCCTGTGTTTCAATCAATGCAGTAATACTTTGCCTGGAGAGAGTAGTCTGAAGTATCCTCTGTCCTGTTCGGCTAGCTGTGACCAGCCACAACCACTGACAAATCACTTGTATATACAGTGTTTGGAAATGGTATAACATTTTACCTATCCTTTTCACTGTGCCACTATTTTAATAAAACTTGAGAGTGATTCAGGAATGGCTGGAATAGGCAAAGAATAACATCCAGTGCAACTGGAGTCCAAATTCTACCAAATTACCTGGAAGAGCATCAACATACACACTCCTACATAGAGTACCAACCTGTTCATTAATTATCATGAACTTAATTGTTTAGCTGGACAGGAAAGTAGCCATACCTTCTAATACTTACTGTTTCTTCTTCCAGAACCTCATGAGTCCTAGAAAGCAACATGCAGTTCAGCAACCACCTGCAAGAGTACCTTTTTCTCCAGTGTTACCTTTTTATGGAGCAACATCCAGCTGATTGCAGGGAACACAGTGAGTGATGCCAGGTGACTTCTTTGACTCCATTCCAAGGAGCAAAGGCCCAGCCCTTCCTAAGGCATCCTCACATAACTTGTGTCACTTGTTCAAAACATTGAACTCCAGTAAGAGCCTGTGTCTTCCTCCACCTATTCAGCATGGACATGAACAGCTTTAAATTTAAGTAAGAACAGCTTTTAAGTGAGAAGAGTCAAAGAATTTATAAAGACTTGATAGTGCAATTACATAGACATAATTTCTATCTTATTTTCCCAGTCAGGCTTGTGAGGGGCAGTTAAGAGCTGAAGAGCTCAGAATCTGGTAGGGTTAGAGCCCCCTAAAGTCTCCCCTCTAAAATTGTATCATGAAGTCGCTATTACAGTTATGTCAAACCAATACAGAAGAGTCACATACAATGTTTTAACAAACTGTCATTGCACTTACTGGTTGCTCTGCACTTATTCTGCTTACTGGTACAGGAAACATTTCCTCAGGAGGAAGTATAAAGAAAGGTGACCTAGCGTTAAATCTGTTTTAGCTATAAGGACAGTTTCTGTGCAGGCTTCTTTGGATACCTTTGGCGTGACGGGATAGGCTAATCTGTTATGATGTTCTTCTGAACCCAAAGGGATTGTTTGAATAAGCCCAGAATTGTTATGCCTTCACATGATTTTTCATAGCTATTTCTTCTATTCAGTATTCTCTCTTTTGGTTTAGAAAAGTGCTTCTGTATCCTAAAAAATTTGAAATGGGTTCAAACTCCTGCTGGATTCAATGTAAAAACCTATGGATAGGCACCTGTGAATTAGACCAAAGGTCCACCTAACTCTGCATGCTGTCAAAGACAGAAGCAGATGTTTCGGGATAGAGGGTGTGAAGAGGGAAGCTCCCCCCAGAACATCCCTGCTTTTAGCAGTCTGTCAGAAGGATTCATGAGCCAGAGGATGGAACTGCATCTTTGTGTTTAAGAGCCCATGGTGGACTTGTCTTCCATGAATTTTCTGATTGCGTTTTGGCATCTCTGATATCTGGTGGTCACGAATTCCATCCCTTAAGCTCCGAGCATGTGAAAGGTGCTTCCTTTCTTCTGTGTGTTAGGAAGCTCCTGCCCAGTAACAGAAAGGTTCGATGGGATTTCGCTTCAGGGGAGGTAGAGCTGAACCTTGGAAGTATCAGAGGGGTTTGCCAGGGCCTGGACTGATGCTCCACTAGGCAATATGAAAAGAAAGAGGAAGATAACAGCTGCTACAGCCACCCAGATGGCCAGAGCTGTTTGAACCTCTGGTGATCAGCCCTGTATTTGAGGCCGGAAAGCTAAGGGAAATCTTAAGAGGTACTGATGAAGACTGATAGATGTGAGACCAATTTGTCTTCCTGGCTGTTTCTGGTTATTTCTGATTGAAAGAAGATTTGAGGCTTGTGACTTATTGTCAAGAGGATAGCTTTGGATCATCGAATCCTTCGTTTCTGTGTTAGTCCCTGGTGTGGTTCTGTAATGATTGGTTTCATTTCAATAGTGAAAGGAAGGTGAATATTTAGCCTTAAGCGAGTGAATCATGCTGCTTTGTCTTACATGATGTCTCCTTTAATCCTTGCCATTTGTAACCTCGGTGCCAAGCTGCTATTAATGTGGACAGAGCTGATTTATTAGTACCTGCTATCTTTCAGAGCTTTTCTTTCTTCAATATAGCAGTCCCTTGGGAGCCCTGGGAACCCACAAATGCCTATTAACAGCCTGACTAAAAGTTTATCATCTGAGTGCATAGTCACATGGGCTATAGTGATAGGAATGTGACTGTTTGCAGGAGCAGGTGCTGCTCATGCAAGTGAGAGTTATTGAATTAGATTTTAATTAGGATCTACAAAATTTGTATAGTATCTTGATGTTTCCTCTTGGGTCAGAAGAGCCCTGAGATAAAGCTGATGAAAAATAACAACTGTTCAGAGGTTTTTATGATTTAGTTCAGAAGACATTCACACCTATGTAGTACTTAAAAGCCAAGGTTTGCCTCCTAGTCTCTCAGTCTTTAGAAAAGAATCATCAATAATGCAAGATCCACAACATATATGAACCAATCCCAAGTTAAATTAATGCTAGAATGAACTGGATGAAATATTTTGCACTCTCCATTAAGCATTTCAGAAGTTGTCAGATATGTCAGAGACCAGCTGCACTTTCACAAGAAGACCTTGCTGGTGAGATCAGTAGACATTTTGATATCTGACATACATTTTGATCTCTTCTACCCTGCACCTCAGTAGGAGCCAAACCAATTCCCTGGGCAGACCATGAATAAAAACGCATTTGCAGGATGACTAGCTGTGAAGAAATCCGTCCTGTGTGAGTCCTGGATCATTGGTCCTATGCTCATCTTCTCCCAAGGGCTGTTGGTTGGTTGTCTTGTAGAAGTGCAGAGTGTCAGGGCCACCTTCTGACTTGGCTGTTGGCAGACCAAGAGGTGAATAGACCACCTCTGTCCTCTCCTATGGCCTATCTAAATCCCCCCGTTTCTTTTAACATTAAGGGAATAGTTGCTAAGCAGCATAAGGGTATGCTGCTGCTTTCTAGATATCCTCTTCTAGGAGACACATTGCGTTCATCTAGGAGTGGTATCCTCTAGATATCCTCTAGAAGACACATTGCGTTCATCTAGGAGTGGCCTAAGGAGTGAGGCAGACATGGTCCCAGGCCATCAGAAACCTTTTACAACAGATCTGCTGGTGGCTGCACACAGGTTAGTTCATGTGTGTGTGTTCAGGAGGGCTACTCTTTTGTGTAGTCTGATTGCTTTTAATCCTACTTATTTCTCTGTTGATCTGTAAGCATAGAGCATCCTCTAAATTTACTTAATCCTCCAAAAGACCTCACCTACCCCCGTTGTTATATTGTAGGAAAAGCAGCGTTTTGCTACTGCGATCTCTACGATCTCTGCGTGAGTGCGCCAGGAAGGTGTGTCTGCAAGGCCCTGGGGCTAGGCTTAAGGATGCAACACATCCCTATTCAGCAGGCGCTCC